TACACCAACAGCAACAACAACAACAGACAACAATGGCCCAGCATAAATCGGATGAACCTGAAAGAAACAACCTCCTTTACTTACCTACCTACCTGAGAAGCATCGTTTCAACTACAGGCGGAACTAACGAGGATATCAAAGCAGCGTGGATCGGAAAAGCAAGGCAGGCTTTCATTACTCTCAAGTCTGTGTGGAGGTCACCAGCGCTCAGCATGAAAAATAAGATCCGGATTTCCGACTCCAATGGGAAGTCAAAGCTACTTACTATACGGATCAGAGACTTGCACTGCGCGTCATAAAGAGCATCTCAAACAAACTTATGGCCTTCATTAACAGTTGTCTTCGCTCAATACTCAAGTTCAGATGGTCGGTCAGAAAAGATCAGCAACAGGGATCTCTGGCAATGAGCGAACCAACCAGTAACCGATTGTGAAACAAAGAGGCAGGAATAAATGGAGATGGTCTGGCCATACGCTGAGAAAACAAACCAACAAGTGACATCACTAGACAAGCCATCGTTCGAGTGTAACCTGAAAGGGAAGCGGCGAGTTGGTCGTCCGAGGGTGACTTGGAGGAGGTCATGTGAAGAGGAGATGAAAGCATGTGGGCAGACTTGGAGCGGGGTGAAAAAGTTGGCAGGAAACCGAAGGCAATGGAGGTGCGCAGCTGAAGCCTTATGTTCCTCTAGGAATTAAAGGATATAATTATAATAATAAACCTTGTCATATTTTACATCGCGTTGCGCACTGTTTTGATCGTCGATTAACCCTATAATCTCACACTACCTTCCGATATCTATTATTATTCCCTTAGTTTCCGAGTGGAACAGACGGGACTTCAGCAACACATCTCTACCTTGTTATATTTCCAGCTGTCCTCTTCAGGTTACCCCAAAATGGTCCATACCCCCTCATCTCCTCCTCCTCAAACGATCTGCTCCATGTCACCGACACACTGAAGACCCAATCATCGCTTCCCATTCGGGTTCCACTCGACCACTGGTCCAGCGCGTGATGTCATTCAGAGGTATTCTTGACGTATGAGCAGTCCACCCATCTTGAATTTCTCTTACATATTTGTTGCGCAATCGGCCCTTGGTTGGCTCGTAGCCAGCCGGACATTCTTGTTGCTAATTCTTTCTGGCCAACTGGCCATTTGATCTTCAGTATGCAGCCAACCAGTGAAGGTGGTAGCAACCTGTTGGAAATCCTTTTCATGACATGCAGTGCAAGTTTCTGACCTGTATAGAAACACCCACTTGACATTGGTGTTGAAAATGTGAATCTTGTCCCTTATGCTGAGGTGGAATGCGGAAGATTTCTAGACTAGCTTCAGGTTGATGAAGGTGTATCTTACCTTTCTGATTCTGGCGAACTTTGAAATCTTCATCCATTCTGAACGCCTGTGGTTGGAACAGTGCTTCCTGTGTGGATAAGTGAAGGAGACAACTTCTGTTATATTTCTCCCGTTGATGGTGTATGGTGCTGGTTGTTGCTGTTGTTGATGCGATTGTTGGTTACCTTCATCACGCCTATCTTCTCCATTTTCAACTTTAGACCCCTCCTCGCTGCCAGCCAGCTTCTTTAGGCAGTTTTTTTTTTGGTTTTCGCCTGCAATTATCCAAATTTGTTTTAATAATACAAATGGTAATTTAATCAGTTAAGAATTAGTATGGTAAGTTATGGATAATAATAATAAATTGTTTTTGTGCAGACATGGGTGGGGGCTTAGGTTTTGCGAATAGATATCGACTCTGTGTATTTCATCAAGCTCCCCTGATGGCTTATATAAATAATCTCGAAACCTGCTTTAATATCAGTCTTGTGGTTCAAAGCAGTTAATTGTTCAGCTATACATGAACTTGTTAGTCTGTCACTTGTGTGTGTGTGTGTTGAAGTTTCACAGTTCATTCATTTGTCTAACCATTTGAATATAAAATCTCCTACCCTCACATGCAAAGCACCATTTTCTTTTCGACGAAGTCATTAACTAGGCTGCACATTCGTGTATTTGTGATAAAGTTCCAGGATAATTTCCTATCAAGAATCAAATTAATAAAGTTACAATTTGGAATTAATAGGCTCTTGAAGCTGAGTCCAACGGAATGTTCCACCTCCTCGACGTCCATCTGACAAGAAACGCCAACAGATCTCTGAAAAGGTCCATATACAAAAAGCCTACATGAAATGGACAATTCATCAACTTTCAAAACTTCGTGCCCCTAAGCAGAAAGAGGAACCTAAAAGGTGCTCTTTCCTCGAGGATTCGGAAGATATGCATTGAGGAAGTGATTGGTGAAGAACTGAGTAATCTCTGAGGAACCCTGGTGGAAAACGGTTTTCTGCATAGGTTCATAGACAAGAATCTCAAATCAAAGAAAACCTCCGAACAATTCCAATCCGTCCGAAGAAGATACTTCTGATTAATCTAGAATTCAAAAGTGACATTGAAGCAGAAATCCTTCGTAAACGCCTCTCCAAATCTCTGAGGGAAACATACTTCACCACGACCCACGACTGACGTTTTCCTGCAAGAAACTGCTCAGCCAGAACGTGAAAGACAAGCTGTCGCATTTGGCCACTTCATATCAGTTTACTTGTTCTTGCGGATCACACCTTCATGTCTGTTCAAACTGTTAGCATCTAGAATTTTATGATTAGAGGTATTTTCAAAATGATGGTGTTCACGATTAGAGTTTATTTGAAGCGCCTTGTCGAACTTATTGCTTTGTCTTATTTCTGAAGATTGAGCTGCTTTATTCGACCTACTGGAGTTGTCAGGTGACTTGACGGCTACGGAATTAGGATATACATTCTGTTGCAGACAAATGAGTTCGAAAACACGATGACTGTACCAATTACAGAGTTTCTTTGTTAATTTAATTCGATTGCAAAATAATTCATATGAACTGTGATCAAGATTTGACCGAATAATTCCCAAATAATTGAGCGCCGAATGAAAAGTAGAAATTTGTAAAAATAATATTTGTAAAATCTCAGTGAAATTGAAATAATTAATTGGAACGTTTCGTTCAGCAAACTGATCCGAACCTCTTCATGGAAATTAATCAAAATTGTATGAATGTATGCAAATGAATTTTGCTGTAATAGCCGTCAATTTGTCTAGGGTCAGTCATTCTAGCTCTAACTAGATGTCCATATTCTGATAACCAAATCGACAGTGATCTACTAGACTGACATATTCAATTGACCCCACAGTCATTGTATGGTATTTGGTAAACTATATGATTTTTTGGTTACAGGGTTTTATCATGAGCTGACATCGGTTAGAGAACCATTGGAAAATCACATGGGAGTACTACCAGAAAGCTGTTTCGTCCTAGTTTGGGACTCTTCATCAGTACGCACTCACCGGGGTTTGAAGTGTACTGCTGAAGAGTCCCAAACTAGGACGAAGCGGTTGTCTGGTGGTACTCTCATGTGTTTTTCCAATGGTTCTCTAACCGATGTCAGCTCATGATGAAATCCTGTAACGAATCACTCAAATCTCTATAAACCAATACTTGTATACGATTTTTCTTAATTGGATTTCTTAGGTCCTTAAGCCAACAACTTATGTTTCTGAGTGAGTTTTTCGGTTTGTAACAACAGAAGACAAGGGCCAGGCAACAGATCGTTTATTAAGGAAATCAACACATATTTATAGATTTTCATGTACATATTAAAGATTATTGTTAGCAGAAGAACACAGTCTTCTGATTGGTTGTTTCTCACAGAAAGTTAACCTTGCATCTCTTTGTGGCTGTTTCTTGAATATCAGATCATCTATATGTTAACTGTATCTGCCTACGCAAAGCCTTTGTTCTCATTTTTCTCACGACTAATATTGGGGACATAAACATTGACGTAAGTTACTGTCCACCAATTTTGACTAACAGCCAGCTCTCACCACAGGTGGGTTTTTAATGCTGACTTCATTCTAGATTTATTCAGAATCCTACACCAGGCTTATCATGTTTCTTTGTTATATAGCATCACTACCGAGCCTTTAGATTCCGTATTATTATTATTGTTTCCTTTAATTCCTAGAGGGACATAAGGATTCACTCACACGTCTCTATTACTCTCGGTTCTCCGACAGCGTTTTCACCCATCTTCACGTCTGCCCACATGCTTTCATCTCCTCTTCACATGACCTCCTTTATGTCACCCTCCCACTGACTACCAACCAACCCGCCAATTCCTGTTCCGGTTCCACTCGACCGATGTTCTGGCGTGTGATGTCACTTGATGTTTTGTTTTCTCAGAATGGCTAATCCACATCCATTTGTTGTACAACTGGTCCCTGCTGGGTTTGTTAGTTCGCCCACTACCAGAGATCCATCCCTGTTGCTGATCTTTCCTGACCATCTGATCTTGAGTAATGTAACGACAGAAGATAAGGGCCAGCCAAACAGATCGTTTATTGAGGAAATCAACAGATATTTATCGATTTTTATGTACATGATTATTAGGGTTATTGTTAGCAGAGAAACATCGTCTTCTGATTGATTGTTTTCTTGCTGAAGGTTATTCTGTCATCTCTTTGTTGCCGCTTCTTAGACAGTCCGGTCGTGTATCTTCGAATCGTATCCGCCCACGTTAAGTCTGCTGTGATTGGTTGTTGAGTAAGTCTTTGTTCTTCTTCTTTGGAACATAAACATTGACGTAAATGGCTGTCTACCAATTTTGGCTAGCAGACAGCTCTCATCACAGTAGTACTGAGCGAAGACGGCTGTTGATGAGGGTCTGTAGTTTGTTCGAAGTGCTCTTCGTGACGCGGCACCAAGTCTCTGATCCGTATAGTAGCACTGATTTCCCATTAGAGTCGAAAAGCTGGACCTTATTTTTCATACTGAGTGCTGTTGATCTCCACACAGACTTAAATTCCTTATCACTTTATGTACTAATAGTCTCATGTACCACTATATGCTCATCACAACAAGTTGTAAACCGTGCTCTAATCTGTTACCTGTTAATTCTTTTTATTTCTAATCACAGATTTGGAAAATTCAACTTGGAGAAGAGGAATCCAGCCAAAACAACACTAAACGAATCGGCCTGCTAAGACAACATGCAGGTGCTGTGTGGTCAATCAATTGGCATTGGTGTGGCAATTATTTAGCCAGTTGTGGTATGGATAATACAATACGTCTGTGGAATGTTGAATATGCTACACTGGCGTATGCAACAATGAATAAAGGTTTGATGAATTCATATTCTTGTGGATCATGTTGTACAATCTTAAGAGGACATAGTAAATCTGTGAATTCAGTACAATTTGTACCATATGGAAATATATTGGTCACAGGTTCATCTGATAGAACAGTCTCCTTATGGGATGGCCGTACGGTAAGCACAACTGATTGAATTTATTCTTCTTCTTATTATTATTATCGAAACTTATATAGGGTGCGTGCTGATGAAGAGTCCAAAACTAGGCTGACAAAACAGCTGTCCAGTACTCACAGCCGGTTTTCCAGTGGTTCTCTCTCTTCAGAGGGGAATTAATACTCGTTTCCCTTCTGAATATCGAATTCGAGTCGGATTTTATCACCTATAGAGTCAGTGGAAAACAAGGGGAAGTGAACAGACGTTTCGTCCCATTTAGAGAGTCTTCAAAAATGTAAACTTATGATTTCTACGGAGATCCAACTCAGTACCGTCAGATTACAAATCGAACATACTGTACTAACTGTTGAATTCTAAGTTACTTCTAGGCAAAGCAGCAATCCATTTCCAATGGATACTATTTAATCTCACAGACGACATAGTGAACGTCGTGTCACATCTTCTTGTTAGCACTCTAGAAATTTCATACAATAGTTAATCCTTAATAAGCAGGAATAAAAAGGTTTCGATTTCTCCCTAGCAAGGATCTTGCATTTGAATAGTTCCTACTGTGGTGAGAGCTGTGTGCTAGCCAAATGGTAGACAGCAATTTTCGTCAGTGTTTACGTCCCATATCTTGGTCATGAGAAAAACAAGAACAAAGACCAGCTAAACAACCAATCACAGTAGACTTAGCGTGGGCGGATACATTTCGAAAAGGTATATGGTCTAACCTTCAGATAAATGGCCACAGAGATGACAGAAGAACTTTCAGAGAGAAAATAACCAATCAAAAGACGCTGTTTCTCTGCTAATAATAAGGCTAATAATAATGTACCTAAAATCTATGAATATCTGTTGATTTCTTCAATAACCGACCTGTTTGGCTGGCTTTTGTCTTCTGTCGTTACAGTACTACGAACTAGGTCTTCGAATTCTCTCAAAGAAGAGAAAGATAGATTTGAAGATTTCTATCAACCATTTGAAATGACTCAGTTTCCTTTGTATTACTAAACATTCTTGTTACATCCCAGTGTAAATTTATTGATTAGCTGCAAAGTATCCTAAGTTAAATTGTCACAATGCACCTGGACGTCGAGCCACCTAACATGATGTCCATATTGCAAGCCTGAGTGGTAGAATTCAGTCTGCACCAAGCAAAGGCCTAGACAGATGACACTATTTATTTTCCAATCAAAGCATCTAATACAGTTTTACAGGAGTTCAATCGAGAGCCTGAATAGCTGCCTCAGCGGCAACGTCTCTAACTTCAGCGCTGAATGATATATGTTCGAATTTCAGAAGGGACATTAGTTACTTCCAGGTTGCAGATACTCCATGCTGACTGATGAATGCTATCAAGCATGAAACATAAGTCGAGCAAGGCTTCCTGTCGATTACCTCCAACCATCTAATAACATCAGCGTCATTATGTTACTTTCACTCATATATGTAAAAGGTAAGTTTAACGCTTACACTCAGACAATTCGCCGTGAAACGTAGCTGTTATCAGGAACTGAAGTCAGCCACAGAACAACCAGCTACTGACCAGAACTAAAGACTTCTTACTTCATAGATTTCATCGCAATGCTCAAATGCGAATATATGAACTAAAAACACCCAAATTCTGTTTTAGTCCATCATCACTCCTATTCACCAGACAATTTGAATTCCATTTGATATGAATTACTTCTGATGAAATGGGACGTTCTTTGTGACTTCTGAAATGCTTTTTCTAGATTATTTCACTATTGTCAAAATCAATTTTGCCGCCTGATTCTATAGCGTGTAGACCGCCTATGGCTGATAATTTTTCAAGCTTTTACAGTTCATCAACTGGATATCTCACTGGTCAAACAGATGCCCTATGGTGTTCATTTCTTCCGATTTTGATTTCTCTCTGATGACCTTTGGCATTTGTATATCACATCACATTACAAGCAACTTATTTTAAAGACACAACTGGATAGAGAATCCTCAAGGGTTTGGTCATTTATAGGGACAAGGTTGCTTTGTTGTTAGTTTAGTGTTTTGAAGAAAACTCTGATCTTGTGCTTATTGAGTATTCTTCTGATGTCGTCTGGCGTCTCTGCTGTATATGGATTGACAACTGCTGAGGTCCATGTTTTAGGAATACGTTTTCGACCATACTTAATGTCAGTGTTGATTTTGTTGACGAAGTTCCTTGGAAAGTTGTTTTGCTTGAGAGCCTCAGTAGTGTTTCTTCTTCTTGTTCCTTCTCATCAGTTAACATCGGAGAGTGTGCTCATCTAAGAAGACTTGAAACAAATAACACCTTTGCGCTGATGAGATGTGATGATCCGAAGTCTAAATATTTGTTGGAGCATGTTTTCTTCATGAATATGGATATGTTGAAATATCCGTTTTCCCTCCTCTTAACTAGGCAGTCTAGAAATGGTAGTTCACTGACGTCTGATTCTGCTTCCAAGATTAATTGGATTCTGGAAGATAGAGTATTCAGTTTCTCCAAGAATTAACTGTGTAGATCTGGTCTTAGAACTACTACAGGATCATCTACATATTTTCACCATATTATAGGAGTGAGTATACTTGAAAAGATGTTATCTTCGAATCTATTCATAAAAAGGTTAGCGACTATTGAGGAAACTGGTGAACTCATAGCAACACCATTTGTCTGTCTATATAAACTCCCTTTAAATGTAAAATAATTAGTTTCCAGACAAAATTTTAGGCTCATAATTATTTCACTGGTGTCCAGTGGACGTTACTGTGATAGAGCTTTATCTGATTCTAGTAGACTGGAAATGATATCAAGACTTTCGGTAATGGGAATACTGGCATATAATGACTTAATATCATAGTTTACCATAATATCTTTTATCTATTGGGCATTTGAAATAATGCGAATCTTTCATAACATTTTGAGTGTCCTTTAGCAGTGGTTTCAGCATCGAAAATAAGTACTTGGAGAGGTTAAATGTCGGTGAGTTGGTAAAATCCACTACTGTTCTTAATGGAACTTTGGGTTTATGTACCTTTGACTGACGGTAGAATCTTGAAAGTACATAGGATTTTGGTTTTAGTTTAAACCAAAGGGAATTTGCAAATTTGTGTTTCATTTCTTGAAGGAGTCTGTTTGCATTTAGTTTTACTTTGTTGAATTACGCAGATTTCTTCTTTTCTTCAATGAGTAAGTATGGTCCTTCAGATAGGTGTTCAATCGCCTTCTTTTCATAGTCAATCCTGTTCATTACCACAGTGGAGTCGGCCTTTGTTATAACGATGCTTTTGTCTTTTTATCAGAAATCTTAGGTCCTCATATTCTTATTTGTTGAGATTAGATGGTATGTTTCGTTGTGCCATTAGTATGCGTGATATCTTTTCACGTACAGATTGGGATTCTTCATTGGTGATCAGTTGTAGAGCAGGTTCCACCACAGTTAATACTTCCTGAATCGATAATGGCTTTCTAGTAATATTGAAATTCAAACCTTTCTGTAGTGGATGGTAGATGGTGATTTCCGGTAGTGAAGTAATTTTCGGAGTTGTCCTTATATGAAAACGCCAAATTTCTACAATAGCGTCCCAAGGGATGCGAACGCACGAGTGACCGTGAGCCGACCAATCAGAAAAATGAGGGATTTTTGAACATAACATTACGTATATTTACATAAAAATGTATGAAAAAAAACATTAAACACGGGATTTTTCTCGAATATGAGATAAAAATATGTCCCAGTTATAATGGGGAGTGTCAGCTTTTAAATTAAACCAATTTCTATACATGTATTCATCCAGATGACTGAAAATAACTTGGTTTTGAGAGCTATTTATTGCTCTTATCCTATTTTATACTCTTCCCCAGAAACCCTCTATTGAATTAGTACGAGTGCATGTTGTGGAATCGACAAAATCATCAGAATGGCTATCTCGATTGTGTATATATCCTAAATCCGATAAGTGGTTATGTCCTGCTCATTCATCCCTGAGTACAGTAGTTCCAGGCTAAACGAGTTTCTGAATAATAGGCAGAAGAGTGTCGGTACTCCTGTCTGGAATAAGTTCAATCAATTCCTTCTGAATTTGGGTGTCATAAATTCCCAGTAGCCAAACGTTGTTAGCTCTAGCATGTCTGCGATTGTATTTCTCCTTTATAAGCACTGTTTCATCGATGTAAAAATGATAACACCGACTCCTCCCAATACTTGTGTAATATTGTTCATTTTCCATGAGGCTAAATCTCGACAAAACTGAAACCCCTGCACAGTTGACGTCAACATATTTTCCTTCTGAGTAGCTTTTGACCTCACTCTGAACTTCAAAATCCAGAAATGGCAAAGAAACAGCATATTCATGAAAGAAAGTTTCGATTTTGCAAAGAAAGTTCCTAGAAGACAATTAATTGAGAGTTTCACTTACCAGTACGAATACTCGTTTGTTTCCTACACTCCGTACATCTAAATTCATCAATGACTTGTAAATACGGCTGAAGGCTCGTTGAAGCACCACAAGTACATATACGACTACATCCTATCAATCCATTTTCTAGACAGTATTTAAAACCGTGATCTGGTTGAAATTTGCACCTGAGCTCATGAACAGTGTTCATTGTTACGCTAGAATAATCGTAGCTTTCTTTAGCTAACGACTAGAAGGCGTTCAAGGCGATTTGAGGGTTCGCACTCCTAGGACGCTATTGTTGTACTTCTCCATGAAAACCTCCCTTCCAACTACAAATCGCCACAAGGTAAGTGGCAACGTACACTCCTTGAGGTTGAACTTTTTAAAGCTCCCGCTTCTCAGAGTAGATGGGCGGTATATTTGGTTATTATTTCAAATTCATTGAATGTACTAACATTGATCAAAACTTCCTCTCTCTCTGTGTGTGTGCGTGGTTTGTTTTAATTTCATTATACTAAAGGGTCTATGTGAACATACATTTCTTGGACATACCCATTCAATCAATCATGCTATATTCAATCAACAAGGTACTTATGTTATATCATGTGATACTGGTGGCTTTATACGACTTTGGGATTTAAGAAAGTTGAATAATTTCACCTTCGGTATAAATTTACCTTCAGTAACAAAAGGCACACAACTATCTACCACCGCTAATACTACTACTAATAATAATACCCATAATAGTAATAGTAGTATCAATGAGGACGAGACGAAAACATTGCCAACTTTATTCGATTTGAATAAATGCAGTAGAAAGCCAGATCAATCACGTCGTCATCGTCATAACCGTACACAAATTCCAGGGAAACAACAACATTCTGAACATCAACCGCATAGTGATCAACAATATCAGCACCGGCAACAGTCGAATAAAGTTGGAGTGAATCAGTTGGTTGTTGACTTGAGTGGTGAATATATTTTGGCAGCCTGCGATGATTCAAAGATTTATTGTATAGAAATATCGACTAGTCAGGTGAGTTTTACCATTTTTCCCCACTTAGGTGGATGTTTTTGACGTTGTGGTTGTTGTTGTTGTTGCTATTTTTGCCTCAGCCTCTCAGTAAGACGATTTAACTGCGAAACTTTCGTTGTCTGCCTAGACAGCACCATCAGTGCTGACTTAATTTTGTCTAGGAAGAACAATGAATGCATTCCAGTTAAAATATTTAGCTTAGAGGGTAGTCAGTGTGTTAGCAAAAATGTAATCTTTTCAAAAGAATGGTTACTGAACATAGAATATTGACATTTTCGATAACCTGGTCTTCATCAGGTTCTACACTTATACATACATAGGAGTGAATGGATTTTTATCGTTAACAACATCAAATCACAAATATCTATATCACACCTTGTTGCAGTCCCTCAGAACTATCTATCTTCGCTGATGAATTCACTATTTTTGCTGCTGCTTCGTTTGGTAACTCCTTATCTATAGTGACCGGCGACTTCAACTCCAGCGACTGCAGTTTTATTACATTGCTGGGCCATGAAAATGTTGTTAATTTCCCAACTCGACAAAATACTTCACTTGATTTAGTATTTATAAATGATTCTGGAATATACGAAGCTCGTAAAAAAGCCTCACTGTTCAATTCTGATCATTGTATTGTACGAGTCTTACCCAAAATTTACGGAAAGCTACACAGTAAAGCCCTCTCAAACTTGTCTAAGAAAGTTGTTCACAGATGCTACTCAAATGAGAACGTACATCATCTTAGAAACATGCTCAGTGACACAAGATGGGATTTGTTTAATGTTGATTCACTTAATGACAATATCTCTAATATTACATCCTATCTGAAATTCTGTTTTGAAATCTGCTGTCCAAAAGAAACACTATTCGTCAAATTTGATCGTTTCTCCTCACCTCAACTTCAAAAGCTTCGTAGAGAGAAGGAAAAACTATATAAAATCAAAGATAAAATTGGTGTAAAAAGAACTAACTTCTTAATTAAGTCTGAAATGCAGAGGTTGAATGTAATATATAACCAGAAATTCATATCCTGCAAAAATCCCTCTAATATGTGGAAACTATTTAAGGAAATCACTGGTGGTAAGCAGATAAACAATATTACACATTCTTTTGATGTATGTACTCTTAACAAATCTTTTATTTACTCTCCCCCAAATGCCATGCTTCCCAGCATCACTTGTGTTAATAATAGCCCCTTTCCAGGTTTTAACACAAATGATGTTCAAAAGTGCCTCAAGTCTCTAAACCCTTCCCAGAGCTTAGGTACCGATTATGTACCTAGTATTATTTTTAAAAAATGTTCTGATATTCTGTGTCACCCTCTTACTGATCTATTTAACAAATCTTTTTCCGATAATATTGTGCCTGCCGTTTGGAAGGACATTCAAGTTGTACCCATACCTAAATCATCCACTGGAGCATGTGTCAAATTTAGACCCATTGCTATTACATCTCCTTTTTTGAAAACTATGGAGGAATTACTTTTACTTAGTCTTGAACCTTCGCTTAAATCCTTTAATGACCCTAAACAATTTGCCTATAAGCACAGTAGAAGCACTTTAGATGCAGCTGCCGTCTTATATCATAACATTGCTTCCAGTCTAGACAAGGGGGCTAAATTTGTTCGTGTTGCCTTCCTAGACTATACATCTGCTGTTGCCTCGGTCCCTAGGGACATCTTATTAAATAAACTTGCTGCTAGTCAAACAGAATGTTGGGCTGTTAACTGGTTGCATTCCTATTTCTCAGATAGAAAGCAGTACACCGTATATAAAGGGAAGTCCTCCACTTCATTGCCTACTGAAGCTGGTGTCCCTCAAGGTGCTGTTCTTTCTCCTTTTCTTTTTTCTTTCTTCTTGCACGACTTGCCTCACTCTGATGAAATAAACTTTGTGAAATATGCTGATGATTTAACTTTCTATCGGAAGTCAGCAAATGGTCTGAGTCTAACGGTCTTAAACTGAATCCTTCTAAGTGTCAAACTGTTGATTTCAGCTTAAGATGTAAACGACAGTTAAAAGAAGTCATCGATTCTCATGACACTTGTAAAATTGACGACAATGATATTGGAATCAAATCAGAAATTAAGTATCTTGGACTCATTCTCTCTTCTGATCTCTCCTGGTCTTCCCATGTCTTAGCAATCTCCAGTAAAATATTCCGCTTGACATTTTACATTAAGAAGTTAAGACACTCGGGTATAACTCAACCCCTCATCCTACAGTTCGTAAACTCTTGCATCCTACCTATTCTTCTTTATTGCTCACCCTTATTCTTTCCTGGTTTGCTTAAAAAGGACTATGTCACAATTCGTAGAATACTGAAGACTGTCAGTAGGGTGAGTGGTGTCCCAGTGGACCACATAGTTAACGTCGTTGTCGATAGGCACTTGACTTCGTGCAATAAATTTGCTAAAGGGATTTTGTCTGACTTGGAGCATCCGCTTTACCCTCAGCTTTCACCTTGCATCTCCTCAGGTAGAACAAGGAGTAACTTCAGAAAACTGTATGCTCGCACGTCTAAGTATAAGAATTCTATGATACCATACTTGGCACGTATTTTATGTGATGAAAATAGTATCAGGCAAGAATTAACTAACCTTTTTTCATCTAGTAAATAAACAATTTCCTCCATCCATCCATCCTTATATACTTTCAAGTTTTACTTTTATTACTTCTATTATATTTATGGTCCTGTTACTTCTCTGTTTTACTCTCATAATTGCAAACACCAACTTATCTGTATGACGGCTGTAATCTTTGTTTTTCCCTTCACCATATCATGTAAAGAGAACATTATGCTCAATATTTTTAAACATGTTAGGATTTCTATACCACATTGACAATACTGTGTGACACAAGCCAACGGCAATTTTCACTTGTATTCTTATTATTATTACCCTAGCTGTTATCATTATTATTGCTATTTCCATTTTATATGCTGCATGTTTTTGACACTACCTCTATTGTAAATGTGGAAAATTTTCTGTGTGATTAATTTTATTTATAATTTGAGGAAATTAGATGCAATATTGTGATTAATGCTGAAAATTCCATTCTGTATCACAAGTACTGTTTTTGGAATAAAGTAAATCATTATTATTATTATTATCAATAATAATGTCAATGGATTACAGTTCGACAGCATCAACATAAAAATACATTCAATATCAGAAAAATTAGGCAAAGTATTAGTACAGAATTCAAAATAGAAAAAATCTCCATTTAGACATTTAGAAAACAGAAACAGTGAGCGAAGAAATATCTTCTTTTCAATTAGATCCTCATCTCTGGCTCTACTCTAATATACACGTATAGCATTTTAATACAATACAACAATTTACCAATCAAGTGGCACTGATATGTTTGTTAACGATAATTAGTCAGTGTCAAAATGTCAAACGGGGGTGATAATTAACAAAGAAAATCAATACACATTTAAGAGGTAGAAATGGTTAGAATAAATTAATTTTACAAGGATAACACGTAAATTAAAGATGAAGTGGTCAAAATAAATAAAAAAATAACATAAGATAATTTGGACAATCATAATTTTTATAATTTTAAAGGTTTAGGGGGAGGGGGCGAAGTAGTCCTGTTGATACATACATGTAACGATGGCCAGGGTAAGGAAAGTGGCTGTACAAATTTCTTCTAAACGGGCACAGGTTTGGCTTCTTAAGGTGGATTCCTATTGCTTCAGCTGTATGTAGAAGACGAACTCGTAAAGCAAAATTAAGATTAGTAGGAATGCGATAAATAATTTTAAATGTTGTATTAACGTCAACCTTATACTCACTATCTACAAGGTGTGCTAAAATAGAGCTATGAATATATCTTGTTTGTCCCTTACTTAAGCATGTTGGATGATGTTCGGAAATACGATGATGAACCTGCCTAATTGTACGCCGAATGTAGCTGGCTACGGAGCTGCAGTCAAACTGGTAGATGCACACAGAGGAGGCAAATTCAGGTAGTTTGTCCTTATTTCTTAAAAGTAGAATAGGGGTGGTTGTAAAGAGACAACGTACCTCTGCTGCATAATAAGCTGTTTTAACTGCACTCTTTAGGCGCTGTGTTATTATTTCGCTGATATTGTCATCGAGGAACTGCAGTTTTATGAACGGTGGTTTTTTCAGAACTGGTGCCATACTGACTCTCCTGGGTGCTGAATTCATATTTTTCTCAATGAATTTATCTGGATAACCATTTTTTCTAAGTAATTCTCTAATAATCTTAAGCTGCTCATTGAAACAGTCGTCTGAACAGATTAACCTAGCTTTATGAACCAGACACTTTACCAGGTTACGTTTATATTTCAAAGGTACAAAACTCAAAAAATGAGTGTACTGACCTGTTGTTGTAGGTTTCCTATACACACTCCTTCTTAGTGTGCCATCTTCTTTCCTTGTCATGAAGACGTCTAGGAATGAGATACTGTCGTTACTTTCTTTCTCTATGGTAAAGTTTATTGCTGAATGGGCATCATTAAAGTTGTCAAGCATGTTCATTGCATCATTCTCGTTTTTAATAACCAGAAATGTATCATCCATATATATCGACAGTAGAAATTCAAGTCATTAATTACTCCTTTCAGTGGTCCATTCTCTAACTTAGCGAGGAAAAACATCAGCTAGGATTGGACCTACAGATTGTACAGAATTCATGAACATATAAGCTCCACAGAAGGCCAGGGGCAATAATGATGACTGGCTGGACTTGCTTCTTCTGCACACATAGCACTTGTTTTTTTCGGGAGAATCGCGATAACTTCTGCTGTTTGAAGCACACAGTACCTGGATTATTTTGGCAGTTTGGTTAACACCTGATAAATGATGGAGAAGGACTCTTCAGTATTAGCTTTGTGATCGGTTTGGACTAGGTGTGTAGGGGACTGTCTAGCGAACTCATTAACATAACATGTATGCGAATAAAAATCCAAGTTAATGAGATATTAGTGTAACAATATATTACCAGAAATACAGTAATGAGCTATATTAA